TGTAACTACTGAGAAATTAAAATATTTTATTGTGATGGTCAAAATGTTAAAAAATCAAATTTCAAAAATTCTTTTTTAAATATGTATACAAAGTGTTAAAATTTAGTTACTATGTTTTATAAATTGATTTCAAGAATTTAGTTTTAAATTAATAAAATATAATTTTCAATTAATAATATTGAATTATATAATATGTATATATGTATATGTAGATAGGTAAAATAGAATTCATTTTCTCCTCATATAAAAAATTTTGTAACATTTCTTTTGTTTCGTAAATAGCAATAATATAATATACATAAATTATTCATACACACATATACATATATATATATTAAAATTGATAATGATAATGATGATGACGATGATGATTTTTTAATGATAATGATTATAAGGATGATGAAAGCATTCAATATTCAATTTAAAATAATTAAAATAAATTAAAGTTCAAATATATAAATTTCAATTTAGAATATAAAATGTCAACCCTAAATATATATAGATTATGTATATGTACATATATGTACATATTTTGATATTATCCTTGTTCGTATGTAAACATGTATATGTTACTTTAGAAGCATATTATCACATATATTAGATTACTTTAACATAAATGTAAATAAACCTAATATATACACACATATATTTATAATATGTATCTATATGTACATAAATTAAATTGATATATGTGATAATAATATATATAAAAATGAAAAAGAATCCCTCTATTCTGGTATAAATGAATATCTAAGCTCGTAAATCAATTCAATTCATATAATATGGTAGCAGTTGGTAGTTTTATGGTGTTTTAAACCCAAAGGAATATTTTCCTAATGTATCCTTATAAAATATAAGAAAATACATATATGTATATTCATAATATGTATGTATATACATTTACACATTCATATATACTTACATATTTTGGTTATATAATCTTGCGTATAGGTAGAAAAATAAAAGTAAATTTTTTGTTTTTTGTTTCTTGATATCCTTGAGAATAATATTTTAAAAGTTTCTTATGTATTTTTCCATTTATAATTTAATTGATTTCATCAATTTCTTGAATAATGTATACACATGTATATGTGTTTATATATATAGTATACAAAATTACGTAAACAAATCATGAAAAATATTTGAAACGATTGTAGTAATAATGAATCAATTAAAAGCTATTATTTTCAATTTTAATTCAATTTCTTAATTTATAAAAAATAAATATTTTCAATTTTAATATTTAATAGAAAAAGAAAAATAATTTCATTTTTTAATAATTTCGTTTTTAGTTCATAAAAAAGTAAATAAAGAATAATTTGAATTGAATTTGGCAAATGAAAAAAATTTTTCAGTTATTGTTGTTTTCCATTTATGAATAACATACATATGTAAAAATATATATACACGGAAAGTAAGGACAAAATCTTTTTTAGAGAAATTGATAATCTTTTGTATTTATTTTCTAATTTTTGTTCTTCTTAACTGTTATTTAACAGTTTGCCCAAGAAATTAACTTGGTTCAAGCAGATTTTTAACTTTTTATACCTAAGCCTAAGAGTGTCATTTAAAGTAATTATGTAGGTTCTTGAATTTAAACATTAGACAACATTAGTAATTAAAAACAAGTTTTAAATGTAAATGTTTTATTTGTTACTTCTTACTGCTTCTTATGTTTAAATTAATGAAAATATTGGATATAGATATAATTTGATATTTTGGGCAATTCACAATTTAATGAATGTATGTCCCATGCATGTCCCATTACATATTGTGTATTGCACTAGCATGCTGTTTTATTGCACTAGCTGGGCTATAGTTTAATTAGCTAAAATTTCGGAGTTAATTTTAATCATTATAAATAATTATAATAAATAATAATTTTTCGAATTTTCATTATAAAATATATGAGTTTTTTACAACTCTAACATATTTGCTCTTATATAGGAGGTTCTTTCAATTAGTTGCAAATATATTCATAATCGTTAAGAGGTGCTCCAACTTTTACATTCGTAGGACGCATCAAATCAAACTTAAATTTATAATAAAATAAAATTTAATCAGGTATAGCGTAAAGTTAAAAAAAGATAAGTCACTAGATTACCTGATTATGTATGCTAACTTGTTTTAAAATTGTTTTTCGTTTTCTGCTCCCATTTGTTTGTTTTAAATAAGTTCTTCAATAATTTTCAAATTAAAATTTCATAATTTTTTAAACTAAATACTAAAATTCCCTCTTTATACCATCAAAATACTCATTTGCATTTTGATTATCATAGTGTGTGACACAGTCAAAATGTACATGGAATTTCAGAATAATTTTTTCTTCTACTATGGTACAATTAATGGCATATAATATTAATAACGGTTTTAAACTATTTTTGTTATGTTTAAGGCAATGAAAAAATTGGAGAACTCAATTTTTTTTTCTTATAATGGAAACTGTATAAATTTGCAATTTTATCACTTATTCTTATTTTCATTTCCCAAATTGAATTTGCATGACCGTATCTAGCCATTCTACTTTTTATATCTTTTGAATTTTTTTTTTTTTTGGTTGAAAGAAATATGAATATTAAAATGTTAATAAAAATAAGTAGGAATTTTCCTTAAAATATGCAAGAGATAATGTAGAATATAAAATGAATTATGTTTTTAATTTGGAATTTTTAATTTTATGTACAAGGATGTATTAAACTATGTTAGATTAATACAAACTTTAAAAATTTGGTTTAACGTTTGGCTTAAACACTAATTGTTCCCTTTAATCTTATCTTTAAAAGTTTCTTCCGTAAATGCTGTAATAATTTTTATTTTTATATGTTTAAAAATATTTTTTAAATGAAATTGAATTACCTGTAACTGAAATACCAAAAATTTATAAGAGCTATATTAATTGTATTTAAAATAAGTAATTAGACACACGACTGGCAAGTTTCATGAATCTGACTTTATTATTTTTCCGAATATAAAAAATTTGCCTTTGGAGTTGTATGGCAGTCACCCGAACAGGTGCAGCTATCCCATTAAAATTTTTAGAGAATATGTAGAATATAATTAGACACATGTATACAAAATTTTATATTTATAGCTTTATTAGTTTTTGAAATATTTAAAATAAACTCTTTGAGTTGTCTGGCAGCTACCCGAACCCGTTGTCCGAATTAATCCAATTACAATAAGGTTCGTTCTGGGCACAAAAGAAAAAACTTTTGAAAGTTTGATGCCGATTGTATTATTCGTTTTTGAATTATCGTGCAATCGGACGGACGGACATGTCTAAATCGACGCAGAATTTGACGCTGAGTAAGAATATATATATATGTCCATACTGGAGACGACTCCTTCAAGTAGTTACAAACTCCATACCAAAGTTAATATACCCTTCAAGAAGTACAGGGTGTAATAAAGCATTTACTATTGAAATTCTGTAATATAAGTTGGCAGAAACGTTACAAATATTTATTGATATATTCATATTCAATCCAATAATTTGGCTTATCGAACAGGAGCTATTGATGTTCATCAAACATCTTTATTGCCCAAAAAATTTTGTATTTTAGAAATTTATAAGAATTTATAAGCAACAACGTTATAATGTACATTCACATATGCATATACATATACAATAAATAATCTTTTTACCATGAGTTTAATTATTTTGCATTTGAATCAAAAATTTTTATATATAAATCTAAATTTAAATAAGAAAATAAAAAATTTTTTATTCAATATCATTTTAACAAGGTTAACCTAAATACAAATATCAAGAGTTTCTTTGAATTCTAATTAAAATCCAATTTTATTTTTTAAATTTATTTCCAATATACCTTACATTGTATATATGCATATAATTTTAATAGATCTTAAGTAAAACGATTTGTATAAAAAATTTTACTTTTTTGAAAGGAGTTTTCGATTATTTTATATTATCCTTTTTATCCTTTCTATCTACTTTAAAAGTTAAGATGATGGAAAAAAAAATTGTTGAGTATTATGCAGATATTTCCCTTATAACCTTGATCTAAAGGGAATTGATTTCAAGAAGATGAAAAAGAATCTACGACATGATGCAGTTCCTGTTTCATTTTTCCTATAATCTAAATAGTTTCTTGAAGAGAAGAAAATTTCATAAACAAGGTAAAAACAACAGAAAAATAAAATATTATTTTATTTTAAAATGTATGCATGTTAAACTGAAGACATTATGGAATCATTTTTTTTTATGTAACATTAAGATTGTCCATAATCCTATATTTTTGCTCTTATTATTTTTCCATAAAATTATGCTCAAATAAAATACTTTCTATAAAAATTTTTTAAAAAGCAAATCATAATATTCTTGAATAGATACATGTACATATGTGTGTACATATGGACCATATAGCTCTATTATAAACATACACTAAGCCATATAAGATTATATCAGCTGCACACATTCAAGTACATACATACATATTTTATAGTATCATAGGACGTCAATTAAATATAAATAAAGAAATTCGAATCTTGTTGAAAGAATAATAACATTTACGTAGAATTTATGTATACTTACATACATGAATTAAAAATGCTAGTCAAACTAATTAAACACGTTAATTTTTTGTTGAAATCACTGAATAAATCCTCTACTTTACTATTTTAATTAATCTTCTCGAAATTCTTTTTCCATATTGTTTGATCAATTAACGATAATTTCAATTCATTTCAAAGTTTCACTAAAAAAAAAAGTTTTGAGCGCCATTTTTTCAAACGCGGCAAGTACCAAAACTAAACAAATATTTTTATACAAAATGTCAATAAAATAAAACATTTTCAGCCGGAACATATGCATGTATTAAAAAAATGATCGTTTGAAAATGAAACATTAACATCAATGGCAACTCATTAATTTTTTTTTTGGCGCAAACATACAGCTGTTTAGCAACAGATGATTGAATACATTTTGAATAAAACAAAAACAAATCTCAGTTTTTATTTAGAGATCGAGCGGTTCGTGTTGTTTTTATTCAATTTTTGATATTTTTTAAAATAATTCGTATTGTCATATAAAAAAGTTTTTATAAATTTAATTGAAAATTTGTTTGCTGCACAAAATTATACGTAAAGATATTTGGATATGTCAATTCTTTTGGCTGATATTGATGCAACTTGTGCTGCACTTGGTTATAATGATGGTGAGAAATATCATGCAGAACCTGATGCAATACAAGGATTAAAAGTAAACAGAAAGAAATTTTCTTTTTAATAGATACATACGTATATGTAGGTAAATTTTGTAATTTGTTAATAATTTATTATTTTTAGCATTTAATTTGGATATTGCGCCGTGATTTAGATAATCATGAATATCGTCGGCATTTGGGCCGTGCTAATGTTTTACTAACTGATTTAGTACCAATGTTACCCGATTACATTGATGATGATGAATATGCTGATGTCTTAATTCGTTTATTGGTTATTTTAACAAATCCAACATTATTATTGTATCGAGAAGGTGGTATACCAAAAGATAATCACGGTCGTAAAGTTTATATGGAACTGATAGATATTTTACAAGGATATAAAGAAGGATTTACAAAACATACCGTATGGGCAGCATTAGCTTTAAAATTGCATAAGACTTTAGATGTGGTAAGTTAAAAAGTTTTTATATTGGCTTTCAATGATAAGTTTATTGTGTACGTATATTTTTCTACATTCAATGTTTAATATCGTTTTCAAAACCTTCAATTAATTTATAGCGTCTGTATGTATAAGTTATTTCAGTTGTCTTATAAGTAATTAAACATTCATATTGGAATTAGAAAAACAGTTTAATAGTTACAAAAAACTGAATTAAAGTGAGAATACCTATTGAAAAATAAAATTCAAGTAACACTTAATGCCGCAAATTCGGAAAATTTTACATTATAATTTTCAAATAAATTCATTTACATGTACATATGTATACACATTTTATATTTTTAGCCAAAGCAAATTTGAAGTAAATTTCATTTGATGGGTTTTCAAATAAATATGAACAAGAATAGATATTTAATAATATAAGGGTACACCTGCCTATCTATTCGAGTTTCTTTAACTGGAGCAAAGAATAAATTACAGAATTCTGGTTGTATTTAAAATATTATGAATTACAAATGGACACACAAGTCTAAAAAATTGGTTAGGCCGTCATATGCTTATTCCTGTCTACGCACTAACACCACTTTGTCAAAAATTTATTAATTTTAATTATAATATGAGCACCTACATATATTTATTTAATTTTCTCAGAACAAAATACTAGATCATGTTAGAATGAAAAATCGTTTCCTGTTATAAATGAAAATTATAAATGAAAATACATTTTCAGTTATGAATATGATTTTGAAATAAATATTTTTGGAAATTGCTTGCGTTATATAAAATTGCAAATTATACACAAACTCATAACATTATCTCGACTAAATCTTTCACGACTTCTCATACATATTTTTCTGAATATGTCCTTCCTATAAAGTTTTTATAAAATAAATTTGTTATCTGTTAAGTTTATTACATGTATTTTGTTTATTAAGACACTAATGAATGTTAATTTTTTACTGGAATGGCCTATTTGTGGAATGGGCTATTTGTGACTAAATGTAGATTATCTTATTTCTATATAAATAATAAAATAAGAGATATTAAAAAGTGAATGAAACTTTCGATAAAAATTTTGCTATTATAGAAAAACATTTTTTTCTTGACAAAGTAGGAAATGATAAAAAACTTAAATTCACGCTGTTCAGGTCCCTGGAAATTTGAATAGAGTGGTTAATACACTTTTTTTTTTATTTCTCTTTTAAAATTAATCTATATTAGATCGTTGATATACAATATATCGACAAAGTAATATTAAATTATTTTTATCATTGAAGTTTTAAGAGAATACAAAAGAATGAAAGTTTTATTTCGGTCTACTGATTATTAATTATTATTTCTTTTTATCTAGGAATACAGAAATACTTAGTGTATATGTATACCGCCTGGTATATTAAAATTTTATTTTTTCTTCTATTGAAGTTTACACTAATAGGATTACTTTAATTATTTTAATATTATCAATATTTTACGGAAACTAAAAAATCCTATGGAAAAATGTGAGTTTTAAATTGAAAATACTTACAATTAGAATTTTTTTTTAAATTCAAAACTTTTTATGTGTAAAAGAAAAATTTTGTTTTTAAATAGTTAAATATAGATTTAGAGCAAGAATTAAAACCAATAAAAATAAGAAAATTATTTTTAATGGTTGGCATACCTCCAATTTCCAATATCATTTTGAAATTGAAGGAAACTGATGGTATGCCAAAGTAGTATCGTAAATATGCGTCTTAGATTGTTCATTACTGTAACATCATTCTTGAACGTGTTACATTTTTGTAAGTATGTTATGAAAATATAAAGCTACACGCTTCCATGCTACATTTCTATTCAGTAGTTCATTTCAGTAGATGTGTGAAAATTAATATTATTAAACACTCATATATTTGCATTAAGTAGGTCAAATTGAATCATTCCTTATGCACAATATAGATTAATACTATTAAAATCAGTTTAAAATATTATAAGAAAAAAAAAATGAAATACAATTTTCAATCGAAAATTACAAAATCAGACAAAAATCATGAAATTGAGATTATAAATTGTGATTTGTTGTAATATTTTAAAAGAGTGTTTAAAAGTTTCTCTTAAATTTAAAAGATTTTAACCAAAAATTAAAAATCAGTTGCAATGTTTTCATTATAAGTTTGTAAATTATACAATAACGATATAACGTTTAAGGAAAAGGACATTTGGTCGAAATATGTATGATCTGTTCGGCTAAATAAATTGCATTTTAACACTGGATTTGAATAATAAAACCTTTTACTAAAGTAAATTTTCCTGTAGGCTTAGAAAAAATTAAATGTAGTTGTGAGAATGAATGTATGAAATAAAAACTTTGAACTCTCTTTGAATTCAGATAAATTTTTAACCACTGATTAGCTTTGGATTTTAGGCACATATACATAAATACATACATATATTCCAAAAAAGGTAGTTTTGAAAATAATTTTAATGAATGATATCAGCATTATTTATTTTATAGCCATTAAAATATTCAAGAGTTTCAAATTGTGGCAAAAATATAAAATTTAATTTTTTTTTTTTTACAATTTATTCAAACATTATTGGAATTAAAACTTTAAATTGCGGACGTTACCATTCTATTTTGTGTTATTTTTCGTTTTTGTTGCCCCAAATTGCCTTAGTTATATACACTTAAGAAATCAGAAAATTATCTAGCTTCCGCGTTTAATTATAAGGAATTAAATACTTAACTGGACTTTAACTTATTTTGCTTCTTCCATTTTTTTTTCTTTCAAAGGGGAAAAATAAAAACCAAAATTATCTTTTGAAAACTTTTTCACGCAATTTTCTTTTTAAATTTTCTCAACATATGCAAAGAACATTGTAATGCAAATAAAAGTAAGGAGAGAATGTCATAAAAAAAATAGAGAATTCTTTTATTTTTTTTCAAAAACCATTAGAATTAAAATGAAAGAATTCGTTAATTTTATTTTACTTTAAATAGCACCATTGTTGGTCGCATCCTTGAGGCCTATTAAAGTATTTTGATCGCGTTAATTTTTCTGAATATGAGAAAGAGAAAAGAAAACCCGTTCTTTAAAAATTTAAGTAGACCATCAGGCGTTACATATACTTAGGTCTTTAGTGTTAATTTCTGTTTTTCCTTTGTGCTGATTTTTATTTTTTATCTTTTTGGTTTTGACTTGTTCATGTCCTGCATTAAGAAAGACGAGGGAAATTTTCTTATCAGAAAAGTTGAAAATAGCAATTAGTGGTATTAAAAAAGGATTTTTTACTACCCTTATTGTAAAAACAAAAAATAATGAAAAGAAAATATAAAAATTAAAAGGAAAAAAAAGTTTAAGTGACTATAAAAAAGAGAAAGTTTTTCAATGAGTTTGTATTTTACCTCATTTATAGTGGTTTTTTGTTCTCAAAAAATCCAAAAATAAATAAGGGGAATCTAGAATTTTGCTGTAGTAAAGCTACTGTATTGCTCTTCTTAATTTCACGATAATTGTAAAACTAAATAATAAGATGATTGGTTGAATTGGTTTTTTAAATGAGCACAAAAATTATGTTGTCCAAAATGTTAATAATTTGTTTTGCAATTGATATTTTGAGGTTATAGACTTTAAAATAAAAAGCAAATGATTAAAGTTTTTCAATACATCATTGGTTGTCTATTCAAAGTCCCTATGGAAAATTATAAATATTAGATTAGACTTCTTTATATCGTGTTCATAAAATTTTTGTGAGTCATTGTTCTTGTTTCAAATTTTTTATAATCACAATTAAAAACAAAATATTTTTTAGTAATTTTCACATCAATTGAGGTCAATAATTTTAATTGAGCTTTAACATTCAAGGTAATTACAAATAATTAATTTTTATGTTAATTAAATCGAAGAATTTTCACTTAAAGGCGACTTTCTTTTAAAATTTTGGTCTCAGTTTAACACACTTACAACAGTTAAATAAATTATAACTATAATACCTTACATTGCAACAATTGTAAGTATTACAATTGTAAAATTCTAAAAATTTGTAGTGGAGATTTCGGGTTATTATTCAACTGTTAACTGCGGCAATTCAAATAAAATTAATCAAAGAAAATATGGTACCATTTCGTTACTGATGAGAATATATTCCTATTGATTCGAAATTTTTAAAATCGTTCACAAATTTAAAATAATTTATCGATATATAAAAATGGATATTAGTAAATGAAATATAAATTTAATTGTAATTTAAACCGAAATCAAACAAAATCAGGTGCAACAATCTGAAAGTTTCCAATTAACTTTTTTTTTTCTTTGTGTCCATTTAAATATACAATTATGTTGTGCTTTTGTTCAACACAAAACTATACGTAACTGATGTTAAGGGAAAAGAAAAACGTATCAGTACGTGCTCAAACTTTAAGGTATTTCGGTTAAAATTGTAGAATAAAATTATTTAAGGAAAAATAAGGGTTAGTTAAACATGTTTCATTTATCGTTAAATAACCAATTGAATACGAAAAAAAAAAACAAGAAAAACAAAAAACAAAACAAAAAATTGTTTTATTTCTTCCTCTTTGTAACTTCTTCTTAGAATTTAGGACAAAGTGCTTGAAATTTTTTTCTTAACTTAAATATCAAGGACGATTCATTGTCATTTAAATTTTTATTTCTTTGTAATTTTCTATAAAGAGATGTTCAAAAGAGAAGAATATGAGTTTAAATTAGAATAGAAATTGTGCTTGTTCAACGTAAAGTTGAATGGATCCAAAAATGTATATAACAATAAAAGCATAAAAAAGTAAGGGGGAAAAATCGAAAAAAAAATGAAAAAAAAAAAAATTCAGAACGAATAAAGGAAAAGGATGTGAAAAACAAATGAAAAAGGACATAACTTTTGTTAGTATTCCTAATTTAAATTTCTTTTCATTTAAATTTTTAAGGATCTTTTACGATTAGGAACCAAGGAAATTTTAACTATGTGATGTAACTAGACATGAAATCATGAAATGAATCAATTCCACACCATTATCT